AAAAAAAAAAAAAAAAACCAAGGCATAAGAGAAGAAGGGAGAAAAAGGAATGAGAAACAGGTACAAGGTAAACTCAGTAACTTTTGCATTCTTGAGTTATTTGATGCACACATTGGATCTATTGGGATAGAACTACTGATTATTCATTTTTGTGGGCGTTAGATCTTCTCTAATATATTTTTTCTTAATTTTTTTTTTGGTAAATCGCCTAGGATGGATGCAGATGTGACCAATTTTATATACATGTCTTTCACTCATTGATGGTAGATGATTTACCAAGAAGAAAATTAAAAATAAAAAGTAAGAGCAATGCTATTCTGACCTAATTTATTATTCTGATTTGTTGACCTGATCATTTATAACTATTGGATTGACAGTTAATCACATTATTTGTTGAGACCCAAAATTAATTCAATGATTGTGATGTATTAGGTCAGTAAATTAGATCTAAATAGTATTATTAAAAATGTATTAGAGGGAATTTGAATTCTTATCCTGTCTATAGGAAAAATGACATTGTATTCATAATTTTCTACAATATGAAAAAACATAGTTTGCAATTTTATTTTAACTAGGAGAGAGAATGCAAAGGTTTTTGTCTTGTGTTTACCTTTCATTTTAAGATCAATCTAGCATTACTTTTTTACAAATACCGTACATTCATGGGATTCATCTCTATTCAATGGAAAAAGGATATGGTTTGTGTCGTGGTGGTGGTGGTAAAAAAAATATTTTTTACTTGAACTTATGGAGTTCGAATCTCATTACGTGTTTTTTTGATGAACGCATACAAAAAGATACATATATATTTTGAACATATTTCTCTTATAATATAGTCAATGAGCGCAAATCGGCCAATCTTTTTTTGTTAAAAAAAAGCCCAAAAATGCTTGAGCCATCTTGGCCAACTGCAGAACTTACTTAAGCCATACATTAAGCCACGTTCATTCTTTTTTTGGCATTCGTTTTGCACCAACCACCCGTTCGATCAATCATTTATTACCAAACGGTTCTTCTCATTATTTTTGTTAAGGGATAGACTTAAGTCTCAAAAAAACAAAAATAGTTTATTTTGGTGCATTGCTACCCAGGAGAAATTATATATATAAGAATAAAAAATAATTTAAAGAAGACTAATGTATCTCTAATAAAAGTCTTGTCATAAAAAGACCTATTAAGATTTTGTTACATGTGTTTTAAATACGGTAGTATTGTTGGATGGATCAAATCTTTCATAGGTATAGATATATTTAGGTTTTTAGAATCTTTTGGTGATAATACTTGTGAAGGAGCCTGCCCGGTGAACAAAGAAAAAAAAAACAAGAGAGAGAGAGAGAGAGAGAGAGAGAGAGAGAGAGAGAGAGGAGGAAGAAGACAAATGAGTTAGATATGGATATTAAATTTATGATAATGATAATGCATAATATGTATCTATACACATATACAAAATGAGTTTCATGGTATTCGTTTATTACTATTAAAACTATTAGATTGAATTTAGATTTGTAGTTGGTTAATCAAGAGGTTGAAAAAGAAAAGAGATTGGAGTTGTTGCGGCAGAATGAACAACTTGGGAATTTTGTAGGTGGTAGAAAACAAAGTTTAGAAATTATATAATTCACCCCCTTTGACTTCGAGAGGCTTTAGTTGAACCCTTATATTTTTTGAAATTTAAATTTTAACCACCTTTTTACTTGGTAAGTTGTAAGAATAGAATTCTAGAAAATTTATGGCAGTCTTGAAAACAGAAAATTTGCTTTTCAAAGAAATTATACTTTGATCCCAAAAGTTTTAAAAAAATTTGATTTAACCCCAAAACTTTAGAAACGTTTTTTGAACAATCCAAACTACTTTTATTCTCTATTACCTCATATTAAAAAAGATATTTATATGTAAAAGATTAAGTATATATTAATGGGTTGAAAATACAAGAATTAGAGTAATGCTACATGGATTTAAAACATAGACTTAAAAATTAGATTTGATAATTTCAATCATTGAATAAGTAGTGGGTCCCAATATATGTTGGAACCCACAGTAAAAGCAATGGTTGAGATTATCAAGTCTAATTTTTAAGTCTATTTTTTAAGTTTATGTAGCATTACTCCAAGAATTAAATATAAAATAGTGAAACAACGAAGTTAGGAATATGAATTGATTATTATATATTATTTTGGATTATATGGTGATTGCATTGAGATTAAGAAACAGTGCTTTAAATTGGATTTTGGGAATCAAGGTGAATAGTTACTACTTCTTTTGAAAGGATTTTCTATATTAAATATGTGGGTGCGTGTGTATGAATTTTTCATATATATAATATATGTGTTGATGATTGAGGTTGCAATTAAATGTATTGAAATTATAAACTGTCATACATGTGAATTTTGGAAAACTTGTGGGATGATTTTAAATTATTACTTTGGTGAAGAAAGATAAATTTTGTGTGCAGTGGGACTAAAATTACAGTTTTGGTATGTGTAAAAATCATGTTTGTGAGACGGGGACTGGGTTACCAGGTCTAAGTAGTAACAAGAGACTGAGCCAGTTATCAAGCTAGTGATGACAAGAGACTGAACCAATTATCAGGCTAGTGGTAACTAGGGCTGTTAAACAAGTCAAGTTAGAACATTTTTTAAAGCTCATTTATGTGTAAATAATCAAATGAGCTAGCTCGTTTTTGTGTAAACTTAGCTCGAATTAGGCTCGATTAACACCCCTAGGGGTAACAAGAGACTGGACAAGTTATCAGGTTAGTGGTAACATACATGATTTGATAAATGTATTTATAATTGATGTGTGTGTGTGTGAGTGTTTTGAGTTATAAATGTCTTTTCATTTATAAAGTTATTTGTGATCATGAGATCATTTTGTTTAAATGATTATGTGGGAAGGGTTGAGGTACAATTTGTTATACTTATGTATGTATCAAAGTTTATTGTCGTAGANGATTTGATAAATGTATTTATAATTGATGTGTGTGTGTGTGAGTGTTTTGAGTTATAAATGTCTTTTCATTTATAAAGTTATTTGTGATCATGAGATCATTTTGTTTAAATGATTATGTGGGAAGGGTTGGGGTACAATTTGTTATACTTATGTATGTATCAAAGTTTATTGTCGTAGATAAATTGTGAGATTTATTTTCACACTTTATTAGAGGTGGTTGTTATTCATGGGTCATTGTACTCATACAACATTTAACATTTCTCAAGTGAGAATCAGAGTGAGGAGTAGGTCCACAGATAGACAAAGGATTAGAAGAATTGAAGATTTATTTTATTGTAGGTCTTTAGAAATAAAAGTCTTTTATATTTTTGAAACAAATGTTTAATTGTTTTGGGAAAAATATTGCTTATGTCTAGAATAGTGAACCTTACGATTTAATTATTGTTTTACATGAATTTAGTAATGATATTGATGGTATTTAATTTATTACTCTGGTATTCATTAGGTCGGTAGAATAGATCACATTATTTTATCTTTCGTTGTATTTTATATTTATTATGCACGTGGTTGATTAGTCAAGGCCTTGTGCCACATTAAGCCACGTTCATTCTTTTTTTGGCATTCGTTTTGCACCAACTACGCATTCAATCAATCATTCATTCCTAAACGGCTCTTCTCCTTATTTTTGTTAAGGGACAGACTGAAGTCTCCAATGCTATATCAAAATTTATAATTTTTTGAGATGTAATTATAAAAAGTATAATCGATCCCAAAATATTATAATCATTCATGAAAATTACAATAAATAATAACCTTCAATACCATGCCAAAATATTCTTTTGAGTACCGTAGAATTACATATTTGTTAAACATGCTTCTGCCATATTCTATCAGTGACACTTTTTTTTTTTGGGATCTTTCTTATGTCATCAATAACTGTGAGATTCATCATATATCTACACTTTGTCAATTTTTGAGAAATGATTTACTATGGATTTCGATGTTTCTTTGTTTGTTGGAAGTTTTTTGCTACTTGGTTTACTCATGTTTGGTAGTCTGCCCTGCCAGCAGTCCGAGACAATATCGTTATATAATACGGATAAATTTCAAGTATCGTATAACTTGATCGAGTTGTCTGAATCAATCTCAAGTTGCCGAATTATCATTACTAAATTAGTCCATAAGATTTTGCAATATCGCGATATGACTTAAATTTCTCATCATATTTAACGCATGACTTGATCAAATTGTCCGAATTATATCCGAATCAATCTCTAGTTGTCAAGTTATGATCACTAAATTAGTTAATAAAGTTTTACAACATCGATATGACCTAAATCTCTCATCATATTTAACATTTTGTTTTAGGTCGTATTGTCCAATACTACACCACAACACCACCGACCGATATATTTTAGAATTCTTAANATATGACCTAAATCTCTTGTCATATTTAACATTTTGTTTTAGGTCGTATTGTCCAATATTACACCACAACACCACCGACTGATATATTTTAGAATTCTTCAAGTCGGTGACCGATACCATAATCCTGAAGCACGAGTTGGTTGGGGGTGTATGAGGGACAATAACCTTTAAGGGAACACTCCACGACCCCACAATCCACTGATTCATGCTAACATATGAAATGATAGCCCACAACAGTCCCTCACTTAGGAAAATCAGAAGAAAAACTAGTACTAAAGAAACCCAAAGCTTTTTAAAAAGCAAAATGCCACCAGACAAAACTCCATCATACAAAATTGCATTTTTGGGACCCTTTGTTTTGGTGCTTGTAATCACCTAAAAGATCACAACATAACAAGATCTATGCTAGGGAAAAAAAAAACAAAAAGAAATTTAGTCATTGGAAGGATGAGATGAATTTGAATTTTGGATTTGCTGGATCTAGTTTTTTGGACTCCACAAAGTGACCAGAAGCAGCTAACATTGTATTGCACTATGAGACATGAAAACCCACACATCATATCACCCACAAGATAAAACACATAAAAAAATATAACCAACGTTTATTAAAAAAAAGCAACCCCAAAGATTTGGGACCAAAAGCGGTTTTGACTATTGAATAAATTTCTTAGACTTGAGTTGGGTTAAAAGCAAGGTATGTATTTGCACCATCACCATCTTCAAATCACTTTGCTCAACTTTTAGATATCAATAACACAATAACTAGTGTAATATTGGCGCAAGCTCAACAAACCATATTCTTATGCTTGCTTTGAGATCAATCCAGCTTATATCTTTGAGGTATACACGCAATATGCCCATCTTTTGCTTCAATTTAACAGAACCCAGTTTAGATTAGCAAATAAATAAGATTAGTTAAGGAGTCAATCGCTTTCCTAGGAGATTTGTTGGCATATAATATCACCTTCAACTCGCTGTGACGACATTAAACCCAAGTTGCTAGTGTGCGGAACTGAAAGGGAAGAGAAAGAGTATGGAGATGCCAAGATTGCGTAGCTTTACCTATCTCAATCCTCCAATGTCTTCTGTTTCTGGAACTCTTTTTTCACTTGTTTGATGGTTTGGTATTTGGATAGTGGTGATTGCCGCAGAAACCCCATATACAGGGTAATTTATCTTTGAAGGGTTTTAACAGCTTTTGGGTGGGAGAGAGGAGAGAGCACCCGCAGAGTGTTGGTACCTACTAGCTTCCAAAGAGCAATAGCCGTCACAAGACACAAGAAAGCCAAAAAAAACACCCAAGGGCGTTTCCGTCATTTCGGGAACGAGGCAGTGGCAAAATTAGCAAGGGACCCAGTTAGCAGCAATTCGGAATCCTATTTAGATTTATAAATTTATCATAATTTCTTAACATAATAACGCGATTTTATCATAATCATTACGGGTAATTCATACTTGAAAGTAGGGTTTAATATAAATGAGAAGTGATGAATTAGGAAGGAGAAATTCAACGTGAATAATTTTGAGAAGGATATTAGTAGCAGTTGAATGAATATATTTAAGACCGTCGTATAAATTTATTTAAGTCTATTCTGTTATATATTATAGATTATAGATTTATCAATACCAATTTCTAACATTTAGTAGGACCTACAATTAATCCAAACACCATAATAAATTAGATTTCAATTCAAAAAAGAACATAGTAAACCTTAAAATACCACTTGTATGAGTTTTTTTTATTTCAATGATTAAAGGTCTCTAAACTAATTTATGCGTACTTCAATTAATCTCCTTTTTGGATCGGTCAAAAATAAGTCATCCACGTCGGAGTTAGAATATTCACGAGAGATAAATCTCTTATGACTTATCCTAAAAAGATTATCAAGATTCGAATTCAGAACGTCTGAATTTATAACTCGTTTCTATTACTATTTTAGTTAATCGTTGAAGTTAAATTTTTTGTTACAATATAACATGTTGGTTGGTTGGTTTACAGCGACCTAAGGATCAAACGTTTGAATGGTAGAAATAATTCTGCTTACGAATATAAATTTAGGTACATTTAATTTTTTTTCAGACCATATAATAATTATAATCCCGTACGCTAAACCGACCTTTTACAAATTAGTTTTACAAAATTGTATAATTGTGTTTGGACAGCATACATGGAGACCTTGCTAAGTTCCCCACATATTTAATTGAGCCATGTGTACCATTTTGTTAGTGGAAAAACCTCTATTTTATTACCTTCAGTTGGGTTTTATTCTCATTAGCTTGCGCTGCAATTTCTTATTCAAGACCACCTCATTGGGTATTGGAGTCTTCACATACACTTCTCTTCTAATCTTTAAGCATTTCAATTTCACTTGACAATATTATATACCTTTAAGACAACTTTGCCCCCATGAACTTATGGCCTTGAATGAGGAGTCATATTAACATTAGCATAAAAAACAAGTAAGAAATTTTCGTTATTGTGAAATTTGAATAGAATCAGATACATCCAGTCCTATCACAATGCAAAAAGATTATTGTTGCGACATGAAGAGTTATAATAAAACAATCTTACCCTGTGCGAATGATGGCAAAAATTAAATAAGCAAACTTACAACTTTTAATTAGGTTGGTTGTTAGCAAAAGCAGGTAGCAACTATTGAAGTCGGAAATTCTTCTACCTTTAAACATGCAAGAAAACACACAAATATGATCTTTCGTTTACTATCGATGAGAGACCTTTCAAGACATGTCATGTTTGACCTATCTTCCTCACTAGACAAATCTCGAATACGTACAATCACTTACTAATTACAAATATCCGATTAATCTCAGAAACACTAGTAAAAATTAAACATTGGACATCTAAACTTACAGTTCGTCCCATGCCGATTTCACACTACTGGATAATCCATACGTGATAACAAGACTATATGATGATACTGTCAATTCAAAGACTAACATTTTGATTTTACTTATTTTGGAACTGTTTTCACCTCTAAAATCTTCCTGAACTGTGGACATTAAACAGAAAAAACAACTTGAATGCTTGTAGTCCTCACCTCCAGCACAGGGCCATTAGACATTAAATCCAAAGAACTATGCTTGGAAAGCCTGGACAATGGACAAAAAACTGAAAAGACTCTACTTGAATGTTTGGGGTCCTCAAGTTCAGTGAATAACATTTGGAACAAATATCTACTTTTTCGATTTGAATATCCTGTGGGTAAAAACTCCAGTTTATAGGTAGAGTTGTATAAACAAATTTTAAAACATTTAAGTTTAGGGTAATACTCGGGTCCAAATGAATGAAACCCAAATCCGTGAATTTTGGTTTTAACCCGAGTTGAACACGAGTTGCAATGTTGCATTCAGGAAGAGCAATCAATTTTCAACCTGAATTAGTTTGAGTTCAATGCGAATTTATTACTTGGGTTCAAAGGTTAGAATTAAATGTGGTAGTTTGACTTTAGATTGACCCATGCATCACTTGTGTTGAGTCGGAACCAATCACTCATCTCGCCTGTCTCGTACAAGTTACCATTCCAAAAAAAACAATGTTGTATTATTGACGACAAACAATGGGCATATATGACAAAAAAATATGCACGAACAAAGAGACCTCACGGTGCTTAACATATACAAAAATGCCATATTAGAGGACCAATGTTGAAGTTGAAATTAGCTTGATATAGGTGTCATTAAGACCAATTAGCATGTAATTGTTACCAATCCTAACCCAAATCTCTTTCTTCCATTTCCACGTTATAGGACCTGCGGATGCCCATGTCACCTTTTACTAGTGTTTAGGTCAGTTTGGACCTAAACTTGTACAACAATTATCAATTTCTCTCTCTCCCTCTCTCTTCCGTTTGAAAAGAGAATTCATAACTAAGAAAGGAAAGAGGAAGATAAACTAGGATCCAAAGGGATGTCCGACTATTTAATAAAAAAATATAAAATGGGGTTCATGAGGTAGTTATGTATTATATGATTGGGTGATTATAAAATTTTGCAGGAGTCACTTGCAGAATTATTCACTTATTAATGGAGAATTACACCATTTTACATTGCTGTAAAGAGAGATCAGGGGGATATGCCAAAAGAGAGATCAGGGGGAACTAATACATTCCAATCAAAGAAAGCCCATTGGGTAAAAGCTACACCAAGACTTTTAAAGTTTGTGGAACCAGCGATGGCAGCCCAAGTAGAACAGGCCATTCTGACCACCAAATGGCCATATAAGGTGGTCTAAAAAGGGGTGGATCGATGCGGCCTCTGTCCCCAAAGTATGAAACTTAGTTCATGCACTGCCCAACCCAACATCCAAGCCCACTATTATATTCAAAAATCCCATGATAAGCATTTGACATTTGAGAAAGTCCAGTTGAATTTATAATTCCCCCCTTGTGCACTCTATTTTCCTTGGAGGTATCACATAGCTTGACCGGCAGCAATGGATCTAAGCCATCTGCGAAGGCGATGATTGCCTCGAAGTAAAAGTTTTAAGTAAAAAATTTGGGTGAGATTGTACAGTGAATTACAATCATACAGACTTCACTCCCCTCTCTCGTGCAACCCATTTTTTTTCGATATCAAAATTGTCTCTTTTAAAACTTGTCCAAAGATTAACCATCCCTAGATTTAATTTTCCGATTTGTTTTGTCCAAAAAAAAAAAAGAAGGAAAAAACCTTAGTGGGTTCTGTGTGAATTGTCATTATAATAGGGAAACCCATATTATTTAGCTCATTTGGGCTTCTGGGATACTTAAATGGGCTCAATTGGTGATGGAGGCCTGGAAAAGATTTCTTAAAGTTGAGTCCAAGACCAACAGCAAGAGGCCCAAAGAATCAAACTCAGAACACACGCAAGGCCCATCTCGTGATTACTACGCCAAGTCAGCGCGCTTCAACCCTCCAATCTGTATGTTAATCTAAGTTAACCCGTTACAACGATCTTCTTTCAATACAGACTAATCAGAACATAACACGTACACCAAAGTCAAACATTCATATTTAAATAATTAAAAAATTGGAAGTAAATATAAAACCCTATAAACCTTCTTGCCCGTGAAGACCTCAACTGACGAATGCTATGTTCCCAAGCCTGGTGGCGATATTCGTTTCGTCTCCGCCGTCTTCCGCCATATAAAACCTCCCTCCGCCACTTTTCTCCTCCGCCGCCACCACCACCACCACCAACAGCCATGGGCAAGGCCACCAATTCGGAGTCCAAGGCCAGCCCGGTCCACTCCAAGGACGAAGCCTATCTCCAAATCGTCATCCCCAAACGCATTGTTCTCTTTGAATCCATCAAATCCCAACAACTCTCCATTCTTCAATCCCTCGCCCACGACCCCATCAAGTATAAACCCTATCTTTTTTCTGATACTTACAGATACATCGATTTATTTTTTATTTAATTTTTTTGAGTGTTATAGGATAACTTTGCCGGATGGGACGGTGAAGGAAGGCAAGAAGTGGATATCGACTCCATTTGATATTGCAAAGGAGATATCGAAGAGTTTGGCGTCGAATGCGTTGATTTCTTCGGTGAATGGATCGCTTTGGGACATGTCCAGGCCTTTGGAAGGCGATTGTGAGCTCAAATTGTTTACTTTTGATAGCGACGAGGGCCGTGACACCTTTTGGCACTCCAGTGCCCACATTCTCGGGCAGGTACACTCTTTCATACTACTTTTTGGGCACAGAATAGTGATGAACGTCTGAATTTTGATGGAAGTACCAATTGCACTTTGTTTGTGTTGTGAATTATGTAGTCGGTTGAGGTGACCTACGGATGCAAATTGTGTATTGGGCCGTGCACTACTAGAGGCGAGGTACATTTTGTTCTGCAACTAATTTCATCTACCTCTTTGTCAATTAATAATTTGTATGNTAGGGAAACCCATATTATTTAGCTCATTTGGGCTTCTGGGATACTTAAATGGGCTCAATTGGTGATGGAGGCCTGGAAAAGATTTCTTAAAGTTGAGTCCAAGACCAACAGCAAGAGGCCCAAAGAATCAAACTCAGAACACACGCAAGGCCCATCTCGTGATTACTACGCCAAGTCAGCGCGCTTCAACCCTCCAATCTGTATGTTAATCTAAGTTAACCCGTTACAACGATCTTCTTTCAATACAGACTAATCAGAACATAACACGTACACCAAAGTCAAACATTCATATTTAAATAATTAAAAAATTGGAAGTAAATATAAAACCCTATAAACCTTCTTGCCCGTGAAGACCTCAACTGACGAATGCTATGTTCCCAAGCCTGGTGGCGATATTCGTTTCGTCTCCGCCGTCTTCCGCCATATAAAACCTCCCTCCGCCACTTTTCTCCTCCGCCGCCACCACCACCACCACCAACAGCCATGGGCAAGGCCACCAATTCGGAGTCCAAGGCCAGCCCGGTCCACTCCAAGGACGAAGCCTATCTCCAAATCGTCATCCCCAAACGCATTGTTCTCTTTGAATCCATCAAATCCCAACAACTCTCCATTCTTCAATCCCTCGCCCACGACCCCATCAAGTATAAACCCTATCTTTTTTCTGATACTTACAGATACATCGATTTATTTTTTATTTAATTTTTTTGAGTGTTATAGGATAACTTTGCCGGATGGGACGGTGAAGGAAGGCAAGAAGTGGATATCGACTCCATTTGATATTGCAAAGGAGATATCGAAGAGTTTGGCGTCGAATGCGTTGATTTCTTCGGTGAATGGATCGCTTTGGGACATGTCCAGGCCTTTGGAAGGCGATTGTGAGCTCAAATTGTTTACTTTTGATAGCGACGAGGGCCGTGACACCTTTTGGCACTCCAGTGCCCACATTCTCGGGCAGGTACACTCTTTCATACTACTTTTTGGGCACAGAATAGTGATGAACGTCTGAATTTTGATGGAAGTACCAATTGCACTTTGTTTGTGTTGTGAATTATGTAGTCGGTTGAGGTGACCTACGGATGCAAATTGTGTATTGGGCCGTGCACTACTAGAGGCGAGGTACATTTTGTTCTGCAACTAATTTCATCTACCTCTTTGTCAATTAATAATTTGTATGAGGGGACCGAAAATTGATATTTAATGGGGAGTTTGATGTGTGATTGGGCATTGTTGATATATATAGTTTTGATATAGGAGTTGTGGTATTTGTTGATATAATCTGTTATTGCTTACCCTTTGGTATTTAATGTTTGATTTTTACATAATAACAACTTTCTGGGCTCTGCTGGTAAAGACTGGAAAGAAAAGAGAAGATAAGGAGTGAAACCTACCTCTTGGTCTATGATATCTAAATGGGATTAAAAGTGGATCAAACCCTGATTTAAAATTAACCCTCTTTTTATTGCTTTACATAGTTTGGTTATGTTATCTGTTGTAAAATGCAACTTATTTTAGGTTTCCATGAACTGGATAAATGCTTTTGCAGGGTTTCTATTATGATGCATTTTATGGTGACCTGGGCTTAAATGAGGATCACTTTGAACAGATTGAGTCGGCAGCGAAGAAAGCTGCGGCGGTATAACAACATTTCTATCAAGTTATTTCGATGTCATTGTCATGTTTTGCTACTATGACATAGGGTATCTTATTAATATTTATTGATTATGGCCATTGAAAGAAAGCCAGCACTTGGTAGTGTTTTAATAGTGTTTCTATTGGATTATCTTCCTTTAGGTATTTCTTTTTGACAAAATTGTCTTGTAACATTTGGGGAATCAAAGCTTCCAGGAATTTAGGTGTTTGGAAAGCCCAAAGCTTTCAAACCGAGTAATTTCTATTGAGCTTCATGCTTTTAGGAGCATTGGTGGGATTAAAGTGGTCTTTTAGAAGTTCATTTGTGGGATTAGAATTGTTTTTTAATAGTGCATTGGTGGGATCACTTGGGACAGGTTAATTTATAGTAGATTTGTTTTTTATACTCGCGAAATATTCAACGTAAGAATGCTTGACCATGTGTCACTTGATTTCCTTTGTATTTCAGGAAAAACAGCCTTTTGAGCGTATTGAAGTTTCAAGAAAGCAGGCTCTTGAGTTATTTTCTGAAAATAAATTCAAGGTTTATATTACTTCACTTGAATTCTTTGATCTATTAGATGCTTGTGGGTTTTCAATGTTTTGATCCCCTCCTTTTCTCTCTGCGTTTTTTATTTGACACTATAAACTTAATGAAAGGTTTTGTATATATAAAAAAATTAACCTTTATGTTTGGTTTTGTTGCTATCTTAATCAGATTGAGATCATTAATGATTTACCTGAAGACAAAACTATCACGGTGTATAGATGTGGCCCTTTGGTTGATTTATGTCGTGGACCGCATATACCAAATACATCTTTTGTGAAAGCATTTGCTTGTTTAAAGGTGAGATATTAGTATGTAGCCAAATTTGGAAATATACATGTTTAGTTGCAGTTATATTACAAAGGTGCCAATTATAATTTGTCAGGCTTCATCAGCCTATTGGAGGGGAAATAAAGACCGTGAGAGCTTACAAAGAGTTTATGGGATATCTTATCCAGATCAAAAGCGCTTGAAGGTAATCTTCGCCTTTGTCCTCTCTCTGCTAGATGTTGTTTATTGTCCTCATATATACTTTATTTTTTTTTTCTTTGGCTTTTGTTTTGCACTTCTTTTATTAAGGTAGAGAGTATGGGTGGTTAGCTTCTTACCGTTTAAGTTGTATTTCATGACGAACAGAAGCATTGTTGGTGAGGTTTATATATAATGGACCATTTTTTTCAAGGACATAATATATCATCAATATGATGCAATATGGATATGGTGCATCTTTGGTTCCAAATGGCCATATTTAATTGATGATTTTTTTTGCAGGAGTATATTGCTATGCTAGAAGAAGCCAAAAAATATGATCACAGAGAATTGGGTAAGAAGCAGGAGCTTTTCTTTTTTCACCCGCTTAGGTAAGTTTACTAGTTATGTACGGTTGCTTATTTTAATTCTCTTTTTGTTTCTTCTGTTATTTTTTCGGGTTGATTTTTATTTGTCATGTCTTGTATGAATTTCAGCCCTGGAAGTTGTTTTTTCCTTCCGCATGGTACTAGAGTTTGCAATAAGTTGAGAGACTTTATACGAAGGCAATACCGGGAGAGAGGATACGAAGAGGTGAACAGTTTATATCCCGATTCCCGACTTGTTTTTGTACCGCACAGGTATAAGATAGTGCCTATCAGTGCAGGTTGAGACTCCAAATATGTACAACATGAAACTTTGGGAAACCTCTGGTCATGCTGCTAATTACAAGGACAATATGTTTGTATTTGAGGTGAGATTTGTTGTTAGTCTTTATCATTATCGTTCGCAAGTAATCCAATTGAATGGTCCACTAATGCTTATCTCATATCTTGTTATAAGGAATTTAGATGATGTTGGAAAATATAAGTAAAAGAGTAGCCCTGATGCATAGATCTATATATATCCTCACTTTTTGCTTGTCTTGCTTTTGGGTTTTGAAAGAAAACTGGCCTTTCCTGTGAGTCGAACTGGCTTGTTAACATACAATTTAGCCATCTAGTTATTCTGATTCGTGGCTACTAGAATTGGATGCAGTTAAGGAAGATGTTATGTGACCTCATATATCTTGGACAGATGATGAATCTGAATTGATTTGCGTTTTTACCGTTTATAATTCGCCTTTTTCCTTTTTTCTTCCGGGAAGGGGTTTTGGTTGGTAGGTATATTGCTGTTATGTTTCTTATGATACACTGGTGTGTCTGGTTTCTGGTGTAGATTGAAAAGCAAGAGTTTGGACTCAAGCCAATGAACTGCCCAGGGCACTGTTTAATGTTTGATCATAAAGTTCGTTCATACAGGGGTGAGTTGCTTTTGATCATTACTTGCATCTTTTTAGTAGCCTTCAACGGGGCTCTTGTCATCTCATCTGAATTGTTTATGAGCAAATTTATGTTCTATCTAAATTTATGTTGGACTACTTGGTGGATGTTCCAAGCAACATGGTATCATGAATGTCTGAAATGGTTGATGTGAACTGGTCAAAATCCAAATTCATCCTTGGTGTGCAATGGCTAAAAGCTAAATTAATCATCTTTTGACATTTGATATATGACTATGGAAATTACGTCATTAGAAATTAATTTATGTTACCAAGTTGTTATCTTGAGTTCTATCTGATTCCCCATTTCATTTTTTTTGGGCAAGGACGGATGCTCTATAGAGATCTTTGGTGGTCTTTGCTTTGTAACATTAGGTGGAATCTCATTGTTCTCTGTATATTTTGACCCATCTATGAGCTGGTTATAAATATCACACTTCTTAGTTTCAATCACTTGTTTGTTCCTTTGGCTTTTTTGTGCCAGTTGCTTTTAAAACATTGATCTACAGTTTCTTGTTACACCATGTAGAACTTCCACTTCGCCTGGCTGATTTTGGAGTCTTGCATCGGAATGAGGCCAGTGGTGCACTTACTGGATTAACTCGTGTCAGGAGATTTCAGCAGGTACCATTTCAGCTGCAATGGCTCACAAAAATTATAATTTGTGGATAGATTTTGGGATAGGTCATCACGATTTTACATTGTGGACCTATCTGTCTTGTCAATACTTATGCCCCTGCGATACCTTGCTGTAAATTTTGGTGCTTACATCAACAATTGTGATCGTATTAGCTGCAGCAATGTGATTGGTTTCGTTGAACCTCAAGAGTTAATATTCAAGTTACCCATTGTTAGTGTTGACAGAACACCTCAGTTGAAATTCGTTACAATCATTAACTAGATGAATTCTGCTTTGTGGCTGGTTGAGGCTGTTCTCTTTCTGACACTACACTGTTGATACAGGATGATGCTCATATTTTCTGCAGGGAGTCCCAGGTCAGATGAATTTTATGGATGTGTATCTAACTCAAACGTGTATAATTTTCCTTCTTTTGAACGCTTGTTTGACTACTTCTCTTAATATTCCAGGTAAAAGATGAAGTCAAGAGTGTGTTGGAATTCATCAAGTACGTGTATGATATATTTGGGTTCACATTTGACCTGAAGCTATCGACGGTATGTGAATTTGGTCCCTATTTGTCCTTTTATGTTATATGTAGTAATGTTGATATCCCTTGGATAAGTGGCTTGATCTTTTATTGATATGCTCTGCACAAGAGTGCTTTTTGTTATCTGTTCTAGATCCATAATTGGTTGCTTGGTAGTTGGTACATATTTTCTCTTATATCTGTTATTTAAGGCCTCATAAGCAGTGCAGGTGCTTCCCCTTACTAACAGAGATGTGCTTGGGATTAGTAATCACAAGCAATTGACTTTGTTTCTATTTGCCCGGGGACAAGCCAAGTTTTCTTATTTGTTTGGCTAGTTGTTAACATATTTAATGTACACCAAAATGATGTTGGGCTTTTTCTGCTCTTATTTATCATGCAAAAACCCTCATACAGATTGCAGGATTGTATTATTGGTTGTCATGCTATGGTTGGATGGCCCTAAAGTATAACGTTGATTAAGTACGCTCTAGTATTTATCTTGTTCCATCCTCTTGTCATGTTTTACCCGTGAAGCATTGATACGGATACGGGATATGGGCAGTGTTGTGAAAAGTGAGCCTAGGCGAGAAGCGAAGTGAGCCTTAGTCGCTTTGAATATCCCAGGCGAAGCGAGGTTAAGTAAAGTGAGAAAAAAGCGCCTAGACGACGAAGCGAAGAATCGAGTCAAGCGAAAAAAGCGAACGTCTAATTGCAGTTTTTTTTTATTTTCTCCTCCTCACCCCCCTTTCCTCCTCCTCCTTTTTCTTTTTCTTTTTCTTTTTCCTTAACATTAACTAAACCCTAACAGAGATGATGTTATATGTGTATATCTATAAAATGAATTGATTGATTCATCTAACAGTATCACATGACAATCTGTCTTATTATGATTAGATGATGTTGAATGCTCTGTTTTGTTTTGAATGCTCTTGTTAATTAATTTGCTTGGTTAATCAAATTGATTAATCAATTTGCTATATGCTTCATTTGATTAATCAATTTGTGAGTACTCTGTTTAGTGGTGATATTAATCAATCACGGTGGAATTCGAACCCACATTTGCTAGTTTTATATTTAGATAACATGATTATGTCAATTGATTATTTTTAGAATGTAATAATGTTCATTATCTAATATCTTGTCTATTTAAAATATGTTGATGTTTATTATTTTGGTTGTATTTAAATATTTTGTATTTGTAAAGTTAAAATTTGAATATTTAGGAGTAATCAAAGTATCAAACTAAAATATTTGCTTATTTTTTATATTGTTCGTTTTGTTTCGTTTCTCGCCTAGGCCCTCAAGAGACTGGTTTGCTTCGATTCGCTTTACGCCTTAAATAACACTGGATATGAGTATAGGGATGTCAGTGGACCGAAAGGGGGGGGTGGGGTGTGTAGTCTCCATCCCCGTACCTTTTTAAAAAAACTTTGTTCATCCCCAATCTACCATCGTTAACGGGTATAGTTTTCATCCCTATCTCCATATGCAGGTAAATTTCTAATCCCCGCCCTTGTCCCAGTCCTAGTCCCAGTCCCCGCTTCCCGCGTACCTGCCCAAGCCAACATAATCCAAGCTTTTCTAGATGGGCATTCTGAGAATTCGCTTCTTTTGAGGAAGTTAAAAAGCTAGTATCACCAAACTGCTCAAAATTGTCCAAAAAGACTTACGGGGTTGAGAAGTCTATTTGGGAGACGCACCATTATAAGCACTCATAAACCAGACTAATTGGACAACATAAATACAGATGTCTAGTAGAAAAAAATTATGAATTCGACTTATTTTGTCAATTAGTCCCATTAGGCTATGATGATTAAATTTTTAAGCAAACTATATCTGTGCTGAGCGTAGGGCATATTGATATAAGAAAATATTTCTCCCAGAAGGTAATTTAGAATCCCAGAATGCCACTCAAAATTTGTAACATAAGTTGCGAACAAAAGTGATTTAGCCTAATTTTAGGATTAGTATTAATGAATCCAAGACCAACCATCTTGAATAGAAATTTAACTCAAGATCCACATAACATCACCAAAAATTAGCCATTTAGCCCTAGAACAGTAAACAAAAATCCAACCCTCACCCAAGTATTTCTCTCCAAATATTCACAATATCCCATCTTAGATTTCTAAAAACCATGAATCATAGATATAATACACACAGATTAATAGATAGATTCAAAAAATATATATGCAAAGCGTAAAGAAGTATGACTTACAATCCAAATCAAGAAAATTTCATACTAATCTCGCGAATTCTATTGAAATCAAACCAAGAAGTATGATTTACAATCTAATTCAAGAAAATTTCATATCAATCTCTTGAACTCCCACCAATAACTACCCATTTTCTTTATTTTTTTTATAACCAAACAAATTAACAAAAAATTCCAAAACATTTGGATCTAAGAATTCTTATGAATATAATCAAAACTGTGTATATATATACCTCTAGAATTCTTCGACGGTGGAGAAGGTGTAGATTGGCATGAGGGAGGTTCCCCAAATGGGACTGCTTTGATTTTGCCGAAGGGCTATCAAACCAGAAAGTCCACGAGTGTTCGAGTGGGTGTGTTAAGGTCTTTGTGGCTAGCTTCGTAGACGACTCAACTTTGTCTTCGCCATCGATGGTTTCTTCTTCCTCTAACTCTTCTTCGATTTGATCTTCTGGTCTGTTGTCGCGGTTGTCAATTTCTCTACTTCTTCCACCATTCTCTCTCTGTCTGTTGGGTTATTGGATAGAAATGGGGGAGAGAATTAGGAGGGAGAGACGATGGAGGGATGGGAGAGAGGATGGAAAGAGAGAGACAGAACAATGGAAACGGCTGATAGAGGATAGTAAGTTAGGGTTTTAACTTGGAAGTGTATCTATATATGTATATATATGTATATGAGAATTTATACGGGTATTCCTGTATACGTTCACCGTCCAATATGTATGGTTCATTCCAGTCCAAACGGGGTGGGTTTGGACGAATACCGTTTTTCTCCGGTCCACTGCCATCCCTATATAAGTATGATATAGATATGACACGGATACGACGATACGACAAAATTTTAAAAAATAGGGTATGGGTATCGTCAAAATATGACTATAATAAAATATATTTAATATTTTGATTATTTTCAAGAAGCTTAATACTTATATATTTTGGTAGTTTTTTAACACAATAAGGAAAATTAGTAATTATTTTTAGTTTCAAGAAAATATATATTGTATCATTATAGTATATTCACAAAGTGAAGTGATTAATTAAATGAATCAAAACTAATATTTACCGAGTCGGTTTATTTAGAAATAATTTTTGCTAAGACTATAATGTAATAGATTTATTTTATGCTCTTTTGAGACGTAACTGTAGATAATACTTAAAAAATACTCATGTGCCTTTAAAGTGGTATGAATATTTGTTTATGTATTATATGGTATCTGAATTCGAAAGAAAATGTTAAAAATTTAATTCAAAAATTATATGTTACTTTAACACAAAAGCATCTGTGAAGTATTCTAATATTTAATTATTATCGGATACGTAGGAGGTGTATTCGATACATATCCTTGAGTATCTGACGATAATTGTATTCAATACGGGTACACCGACTTCAACGAAGTATCCGTGCTTCATAGTGTTTCAGTATACAATTCAGTGAAAGCTATAGACCCTTTCCCTTTTTGGCATGTGCAGTTTGTTTTGCCTGAGTTATACTTCCTTTTGTTTGAGTGCTGTTTCTTTGTTATACGCAATATCATTAATGTTTTGTCCTATTATGTGTTTTGTATTGCAGAGGCCAGAGAAATTTCTTGGAGACTTGGCAACATGGGAAAAGGCTGAAGCTGCTCTTACAGAAGCATTGAATGAGTCTGGCAAGCCATGGCAGGTTAAAGACTTGCGTTTTATCCCTTTATATACGAAACTGTTTCTTCCTTTCTTTGTTTCAAGAACTCAAGTTTGTGGATAGGACTTGTGATATAAGGATATAATTCGTATGTAGGAGTACCCCGTTGACTTTTCAGCAGTGTTTTTTTGGTTGTAGAGCTTTGGTGTATTGTTTGTTCTTTTCTAACTGAAGTGGTGGATTTCTGAGCTTCTCCCTTTTGATTAAGTAAAAGGTGTATCTTTTCTGAAGCATAGGTGCTTGTTTTTTCTTGTTAGTTAATTAACTGATAACCTATTCTTTCATTTGGGTGGTGCTCCTGATTTGAAATGCTACTCGATTATTTTTTGGTACCATAACATATTCTTGTCTCATGTGCTGAGCTATTTTTCAGATAAATGAAGGTGATGGGGCATTTTATGGGCCAAAGATTGATATCAGTGTTTCTGATGCAATGAAAAGGAAATTCCAGTGTGCCACACTACAGGTTAACTGGTTACCTTTTTTTTTTCTTCTTTTTCCCTTTGTAATGGACTGATTTGTATCACAGTATTATCACCTAATGATTAAAATTTGTTATTACAGCTGGACTTCCAACTTCCTGCTCGTTTCGACTTAACATATTCAGCGGAAGATGAAAGTAAGAGGGAGAGACCTGTTATGATACACAGAGCCATACTAGGCTCTGTTGAACGTATGTTTGCTATACTTTTGGAGCACTACAAGGGGAAATGGCCTTTCTGGCTTAGTCCACGTCAAGCCATTGTTTGCCCAGTGTCTGACAAATCACAAAAATATGCAGAAAAGGTTGTTTATCTTTATATGCTTCTGTTTGAATTTTTTAACTGTTCTGTGACTTGATTATTTATTGTTTACTTCTTTCTAATTTGAGTGATATGCATGTTGTAGGGGTACACTGCTGATATGTTACTTTGTCTTTTTTGATTTTTTGTTTTTGATTTTTTTTTTTTTGGGGGGGGAGGGGCCGAGATTGAATATTGATATTTTATAGGTAATATTCATATCATGCCTCTATGCCCAGTAAGTTTGAACTGCTGTATTGTTAATCACCATGTTGGGTTATTTTATTGGCTCTGCAGTATTACATCTTTGAGGATCAAGTGTGTCTATATTTGGAAGTAAACGGGGACCAGCTTATTTTACTGAATTTGGATTAAGAATGCTTTATTCTTTTTTCACTTGCAGAATCAGAGGTCTAGGGACATCATTTTTCTTGTGTTTAACTTTTGCAGGTACAAGAAAAAATTTATAGTGCTGGTTATCATGTCGATATTGATGCATCTGACAGAACAATCCAGAAAAAGGTATTCAATACTCTCTTCAGAACCTAGTTTTAAGAAGCATTTTTCTTATACTATTAGCCAGGTATGCTTGCCTTAGTTTTCTGTGCCATTCATTTGTGTTTTTTTTTATATGAAACATAACTATTATTAAAATTTAAAATGTGAGTTACAAAAGGCATGTCTGAAGTGGACAAGATCCCAATCAAAGACACATTGAAACAGAAAACCATGAACATAAAAAACATGGGCAGTAGGCTCAGCAAAACAGAACAGCTATCCGCAAGAGGCTGTCCAACTCGATGTAATGCAAAAGAGAGGGACATTGTCAAACTCCTTAGTCATAGAAGACCAAAAAAAGCCAGAAAGTGTATTCTTTCCCAAAATCCTTCAATCTCCTCTGACTTATCCTCAAAATAGCACAATAGCACAAAATTCTCCACCTCCTATTCATTCCTTCCCCCATAACATCCAAATCAATCATAGATAAAATAGATCTCGGTGGCACCCAAGTGATACCCACATTAAATAAACAGCTTATTCCAAAGCGATAACACAACAGGGCATGTAAGTAAAGATAATNTATCACCTAATGATTAAAATTTGTTATTACAGCTGGACTTCCAACTTCCTGCTCGTTTCGACTTAACATATTCAGCGGAAGATGAAAGTAAGAGGGAGAGACCTGTTATGATACACAGAGCCATACTAGGCTCTGTTGAACGTATGTTTGCTATACTTTTGGAGCACTACAAGGGGAAATGGCCTTTCTGGCTTAGTCCACGTCAAGCCATTGTTTGCCCAGTGTCTGACAAATCACAAAAATATGCAGAAAAGGTTGTTTATCTTTATATGCTTCTGTTTGAATTTTTTAACTGTTCTGTGACTTGATTATTTATTGTTTACTTCTTTCTAATTTGAGTGATATGCATGTTGTAGGGGTACACTGCTGATATGTTACTTTGTCTTTTTTGATTTTTTGTTTTTGATTTTTTTTTTTTTTGGGGGGGGAGGGGCCGAGATTGAATATTGATATTTTATAGGTAATATTCATATCATGCCTCTATGCCCAGTAAGTTTGAACTGCTGTATTGTTAATCACCATGTTGGGTTATTTTATTGGCTCTGCAGTATTACATCTTTGAGGATCAAGTGTGTCTATATTTGGAAGTAAACGGGGACCAGCTTATTTTACTGAATTTGGATTAAGAATGCTTTATTCTTTTTTCACTTGCAGAATCAGAGGTCTAGGGACATCATTTTTCTTGTGTTTAACTTTTGCAGGTACAAGAAAAAATTTATAGTGCTGGTTATCATGTCGATATTGATGCATCTGACAGAACAATCCAGAAAAAGGTATTCAATACTCTCTTCAGAACCTAGTTTTAAGAAGCATTTTTCTTATACTATTAGCCAGGTATGCTTGCCTTAGTTTTCTGTGCCATTCATTTGTGTTTTTTTTTATATGAAACATAACTATTATTAAAATTTAAAATGTGAGTTACAAAAGGCATGTCTGAAGTGGACAAGATCCCAATCAAAGACACATTGAAACAGAAAACCATGAACATAAAAAACATGGGCAGTAGGCTCAGCAAAACAGAACAGCTATCCGCAAGAGGCTGTCCAACTCGATGTAATGCAAAAGAGAGGGACATTGTCAAACTCCTTAGTCATAGAAGACCAAAAAAAGCCAGAAAGTGTATTCTTTCCCAAAATCCTTCAATCTCCTCTGACTTATCCTCAAAATAGCACAATAGCACAAAATTCTCCACCTCCTATTCATTCCTTCCCCCATAACATCCAAATCAATCATAGATAAAATAGATCTCGGTGGCACCCAAGTGATACCCACATTAAATAAACAGCTTATTCCAAAGCGATAACACAACAGGGCATGTAAGTAAAGATAATCCACGCTTTCACTATCATTCTTGCATATAACACACCATAGCGGTAAAGAACAACTGTTACGTCTTCTTCTTTGAAGCATATCATCAGTGTTAATCTTACTGTGAACAATAATCCATACAGAAATTTGTACCTTTAAAGGCACCTTAGCTTCCCAAATAACTCTTGATGGATGAAATAAAGAAATAGAAGGATCATCAATAAGAGACTCAAAGTAAGATTTACATGACAAAACACCAGAAGAATCAACAGTCCAAACGTCCACCCTATCATGAGTGACGAAAACATTATCAAGCAAAGAAAAAACACTATCATTCATTTGCGTTTTATACAATATTTTGGGTGTCTTATTATGCTCTTCTGTTTGGATTGTGAATCAATTTTATTCCAGATGCTGACTGCATCTCTCTTGGTTATCTGATAACATTATTCCATTTATCTTATGCATCTTTTGCTTTCATTATTAAATTTTAAGTACAACTTTAGCAAGAATAATTTTTGCAGTTATGTATTCTCTCGTTTGAGATTTCCATTCGTTAAATTTTTAAGTTTTGTTAATTACATTTCAACACGTACTAATATCTTAGCAATAGATATTGTCTAAAGATGTGTCAGACACGTTACCCAAGGAGTGTCGGGCACGTGCCAAAAAAATTAAAACTTCATCTTTTAATGATGGACACAGATAAAAGAGCATCTGACATCTGTATGAGAAATGTTGGTCTCTGACATGGATACGTCATCTTTGTGGGAGTGTTGTCTCCGACATGGATACGTCATCTTCGTTTGTGAGAGTGTCGTGCTTCTTGGGAAGACTAGTTCCCCCACCGACAATCTGTATATATCTAAATACTAAACTTCTACTCCTTACTACTTACCAAACTTGGCAAGAAAATCCTGAAATTCTATCCTAATGAATACCAAAGTGCAGCTCAATGTACCAAAAAAAGCCCAGCTTGATGTAAAGCACCAACCGCAGTCAACCTGTAATTTTGTTACATTAAATTTTCAAAGTTGTGTGGCACATCTGAAGTATGATATACTGATGCATGACCAGCTGCAATCTAATCTCAACGCTTGGATTTCATTGTGTCAACAAATAAAATCTCCTATGCACCGGTTGATGTTTGAACTCATTCCTCTAACCCCAACCATGTCCCTGATATTAAGTTAGCTAACCTTTGTTTTCTATTTCTTCTGTCGAGTTCTCATTCACTATTCATCTTGATGTTAATGTATAGTTGATACATAAGCATTGCTTTGATGCTGGGGTCTCTAATAAATTTGTTTCCCACCAGAAAAAGTAGAATTGTTTGAAATTGCTTTACGCAGGATCTAAAATCTTCATTTTTTGTCATTCTTGCTTTTGTTTTCCTAGATTTTTTTACTTATACTGATTATTCTTTTCCCTGCAGGTACGAGAAGCTCAATTGGCACAGTACAACTACATTTTGGTAGTTGGTGAGCAAGAAGCCAACACTGGACAGGTTTTAGTTCTTCTTGTACAATTTTTTTTTGAACAGTCTCGTATACTTGAATATTGAGAGTGTGTGCACTATTGATTTTATACGCTCATTAGCATTGAAAAATATGAGGTTTTGTGTTCTTGGTCCATGCATACAAAGCATGCAACCCAGCAGAACAAGAGTCTTGTGGTAGATAATTCATGTCAAAGAGCTAGTTGACCTTATGAGGTGTTTGGCCTTCTGAAAAAGGGAAAAAAGTGCCAATGACTCAGATGTGGGAGCATGTCATATGTTGAGGAATTTAAAAAATTTGATGGGAAAAACGAACAAAATAAAAAAGCAAAGAAACTAATATTTGTGGACATGGTCACACGGACATGAGTATTTAGGCATAGTTGCCAAAATCAAGCTGGACATGATCTGATTCACGATTCAAGCATACCTTGAAGGAATTTTATGGGCATTGATTTTGGGCAAAAATTGTTGTCCAATTGAGGCTGAATTTCATTAATTGACCCGTTTTCAATTTCTTTTTTGTCACATTATTTCTTGTTTTTTCTGAGAAAACTAGAACACAGCTTCTAAGAGTGTTTAGAGGGGAAGTAATCAATACAGTTGCATGATTTGTTATTCTTTTGGGTTGTTTCTAGTCTTGACTAGTCCCAGAACATAGTTTTTATGTCTTAATTAAGGGTTTTGGCCAGATGAAAGGAGTAAATATACAGTTGTGTTAATGTCCCAACTTTTGGGACCTTGACTTTGGTTTTTGGTATAATGAATGTATATTCTTGCATTCCATTGATCAATTTACTATATGTTGTCATTTGTTGTAAGTGAATAGATAATTTATGGGTAAAGAAAATCGCAGTGGGATTTAGACCCAAATCTCTTGCCATGAAAACAAGAATGGCAAGAGCATGATCATGCTATTTATTTCATGTTGGAAAAGATTATATGTTCCTATTTTCTTCAGAAACCCAGCTATAATCTTTTAAGGTGTTAAACGTAATATGATTGTGATTGGAGCTCAATATATTTATTCTAGTCATGGCAACTATGTTGTATCTATCTTTTACAATATGTCGAGATTTACTTTGGATGGGTCATTAATCTCTGCTCACTTGTTTCATAACCTAATCATATCTTGAACCTTTCAGCAATATTCTCATTGGTTTAGTCTAATTGTTTATATGGATCTAATTCTTGAAAGATTTGCCTTACCTATCAAACAAATTTAATGTTTCCAGGTAAGTGTGCGTGTAAGAGACAAGGAAAACCATTCAGTTATGAGTGTTGATGATCTGATTACACACTTCGACAAGGAAATTGCAGCTTTTCATTAGTGGTATCTTTAAGAGTTTGAGATGGTAAATTTTAGAGTTAACTTGTTGAGTTAGATGGGGATCCCAATTGAGTAACATTACATTCATGTATTTTAATTTATAGCTTCTCAATTTAATAATTAGTATAAATTGTTTTATTGTTCTTGTGAATCTTGATGCTGACAAAACTTGTCTGTGTTCTTGTTCAGATAGTATAATGTTTGCCCATTAGGTTTGTACTATGGGGTTCATCTGTACCTTCTGTTCACTAAACTTTGAGCCGATTAAAATTGTTTGTGGTGAAGTTTTCATGGTGTTTAATTTTGCAGAATTCTTGTTGGAATGTGAACTACAATTCGGATTGTAGGATGTCTATGTATTTGCTCCTTACCTTTCTTCAGCTTATCAACAGACATGCACCATCTGTGGTATTTAGTTGTCAAACAGAATGATTTATTGATAGGGACCTCATTTCTATGAGTCTTCACAGATGGTATCTCTTAAACTTGTGAGAGCACAGACACTAGGACATCATATGCAACTTGGTGGGGGCTTGAATTCCCCACGTAAGGCTAATGAGATAGAAGGCTCGACAGGGTTATGACTGGGCCAGGAAGCCAGTAGTAAAGATTGACATAATGGTTTGGAGTGTTTTAGCATGATGTCTAGTCTGAAGCTAACTGGAGAGCTTGCAACTAGAAGGGTGTATATGCTGTGCATGTCTGTGAGAGATTGTTCTTGGTGTTTTGGTGTCTTCATTAATCACAGCACCCCTTGTTTTGCAGAAATAACGATACGATGACACTGTTTTTTTAAACATAAACACCATTCCTGAGCTTAAATTAGATGTAAAAGCTGAAAAACTGGGGAAAAGGATGGTATTCCCATTTTTGAGCGTGTCTTAACCATCTGTTTCTCACGATCCGTAAATAGCCGGATCAAAGTCCACAAAACAGGTTGTTTCGGTCATTCAGGAGGTCCACCAGCATAGTGTATAGCTGGGTATGTTCCAATATTTCACTGCAGGGTCGAACCAAGTTATAACTCTAGTGGTACAACAGATGTTGATCTGTTGTTACTCCTTGGGATGATCTTATGGTGGTCTTGATATACGACCTACCAGCCCTTGTCCTGTATGGCGATGTTGTTTGAACCATTGCCATTAAATTAGTAGCAATAAACTTGATAAATATAGTCTAAATAGTATTATTGAAAATCATAAGGGGATAATTATTATCATCATCATCATCATAATCATTGCTCTCTCTTGATTAGATATAACAGACATGATTTTAAGCATAATAGTGGGGCATTATTCCCTGATTACACTGCAAGGATTTGAGGAGGAAACACCCACCAAGTCTTCCAACTAAAAGCTACAATGTTGGAAATCAATCCATGATCTCTATGTCATTTAACAAGAATCACTTAATATGAGTTGTTAGGCCCACTGCTAGTTACATTCAGATCATGGTGATAATTAAAAGGCTGATGATGATGTTGATAAGATGGAAATGAACTACTGGTCTCACCTAGTATATCTCTACCATGCCTATCCTCCTCATCAGCCTCTTCCTTAGCCACTTTCTCCATCCCCACCATCAGTTCCAAGGGCTTCATGGATGAGATATATGGTGGCTGAGCCTCACAGTATGATGATGCAGGGGCTGAAGACGCTGGTACGACTGAAGGGAGTTTTGAGAGGAGGGCTTCAAGGCTGCTCATGGAGGGAGTTATCCTCATGGGCTGATTGAATTGATCATAGAACTCTGTTGGTGGTGCTACTGCTAGGTTGCCTTGGAAGTGCCATGATTCTGGTGCTGTGCACCCATCTGTCCTGAAGGGATATGCCGATGATGATGGGTGTGGCAATAGCACTCCAGGGATGCTTTCAATATAGCCGAACTTCTTTCTTAGTAGAACAACATAACTCAGGTCCTCAACAACCTTCAATGCCATGAATTAATAAGGGAAAGTTGTAAATTAGTATTACTGATTGAAAATTGAGCCATGAAAGTACTTTCTTTAGACACGGAATGTAAATATGCACACATTTGACCATCTCTAGACTTCACATTGGTTGGAATTCTCGTGTACTTGACTGAAGTCAAGATTGAGCACCGTGTGGTGCGTGTGTGTCCGAGAGAGAGAGAGAAAGAGAGAGAGAGAGGGGCACCTTGTGAACTGCTCCCAACTGAATGACACCTTCTCTAACTGCAATCAAAGCTATAGTCTGCAAGCAAGATATGTGAGCCAGACTGGTGAACTGGATCTATCTAAAATCATGAGAGTTTGATAGCTATATGTGTTGTCCATACCTTTATACCTGACTGGAATTGGGCCTCCCAGGTCCTAGGGTGCTGTTGAAGAAAACGTTCCGTGAGGATCAGACAGTAGGTTCTTTTTTTTCTTTATGTAAGGATGAAACTTAACATGAAATCATGAAATTGAGTTAGCATGGCTAAGAGATTTGCTTACAGATTCAGCTGAGGTGTGCCATGCAGACAAGAAGTTGATTTCTTGATCATTTGGTTCTTTATAGATCCACTTATGACCATGATCTGCAGCTACTTTTCCAATTAAACTGCCAATAAAACCAATCCAGCTTGGACCTTGGAGACCTATCTGAATCAGTAAACAAAGTAAGAAATGGTTATCGCCACTTACCCTTCACCATAATTGTAGATTTCATGTGACATCTTGAAGAACAGCTCTGGTTGCAATCCTTGATAGTGTTGGTATTCACAGTTTCCATAAACCGACGATCCCGGACAATCTCCATTGTTGATCTCAGCAGTTGAGGCTGCAAAGTTGCAGAAACCATCTTCCCAAACCAATATCCTGTAATACCCACATATATACAGAGAGAGAGAGAGAGAGAGAGGATATTAACTTCTAGATACAAATGCATGGAAGTTTTCCATCTGATCATTGGATCAAAAGCAATACCAGTTCCTCCTGTTTCCTCTTGACCTGTCAAATGCTCCTCCTTGGCTATCCCATCTAAAAGAAAGACAAGAATTACATTAGGAAACATCAAATCTATAGGTTTAATCCCAAATTTGTAGCACAAATTTTCTCTCCTAAATTTTAGGTTATTCACTTTACTTGGGTGGTGGGTAGTTCCTAGGCAAGATCCTCCAAAAGACTGCATACACCCATTGGGAGTTTTCATGAATGCACAAGCTTCTGAGTGTGTGCTGAAGGAGATGAGTAACTGCTAAAGGACTGAGTTGTTCCTCCATTAGTCCTTTCACTGAGAGGCTCTCTCTCTCTCTCTCTCTCTCTCTTNATTGAGCCATGAAAGTACTTTCTTTAGACACGGAATGTAAATATGCACACATTTGACCATCTCTAGACTTCACATTGGTTGGAATTCTCGTGTACTTGACTGAAGTCAAGATTGAGCACCGTGTGGTGCGTGTGTGTCCGAGAGAGAGAGAGAAAGAGAGAGAGAGAGGGGCACCTTGTGAACTGCTCCCAACTGAATGACACCTTCTCTAACTGCAATCAAAGCTATAGTCTGCAAGCAAGATATGTGAGCCAGACTGGTGAACTGGATCTATCTAAAATCATGAGAGTTTGATAGCTATATGTGTTGTCCATACCTTTATACCTGACTGGAATTGGGCCTCCCAGGTCCTAGGGTGCTGTTGAAGAAAACGTTCCGTGAGGATCAGACAGTAGGTTCTTTTTTTTCTTTATGTAAGGATGAAACTTAACATGAAATCATGAAATTGAGTTAGCATGGCTAAGAGATTTGCTTACAGATTCAGCTGAGGTGTGCCATGCAGACAAGAAGTTGATTTCTTGATCATTTGGTTCTTTATAGATCCACTTATGACCATGATCTGCAGCTACTTTTCCAATTAAACTGCCAATAAAACCAATCCAGCTTGGACCTTGGAGACCTATCTGAATCAGTAAACAAAGTAAGAAATGGTTATCGCCACTTACCCTTCACCATAATTGTAGATTTCATGTGACATCTTGAAGAACAGCTCTGGTTGCAATCCTTGATAGTGTTGGTATTCACAGTTTCCATAAACCGACGATCCCGGACAATCTCCATTGTTGATCTCAGCAGTTGAGGCTGCAAAGTTGCAGAAACCATCTTCCCAAACCAATATCCTGTAATACCCACATATATACAGAGAGAGAGAGAGAGAGAGAGGATATTAACTTCTAGATACAAATGCATGGAAGTTTTCCATCTGATCATTGGATCAAAAGCAATACCAGTTCCTCCTGTTTCCTCTTGACCTGTCAAATGCTCCTCCTTGGCTATCCCATCTAAAAGAAAGACAAGAATTACATTAGGAAACATCAAATCTATAGGTTTAATCCCAAATTTGTAGCACAAATTTTCTCTCCTAAATTTTAGGTTATTCACTTTACTTGGGTGGTGGGTAGTTCCTAGGCAAGATCCTCCAAAAGACTGCATACACCCATTGGGAGTTTTCATGAATGCACAAGCTTCTGAGTGTGTGCTGAAGGAGATGAGTAACTGCTAAAGGACTGAGTTGTTCCTCCATTAGTCCTTTCACTGAGAGGCTCTCTCTCTCTCTCTCTCTCTCTCTTCTATCCTTGAAAGAAGTAAAAACCCAACATCCTTTTCCCCCTTTATATAAGGCCACCAACAACGAAATCTCACATTTATACCCCCCCCCTCTCTCTCTCTCTCATTTAGTCACGCTTTGAGGCCTCTCCATTCAAAACTACCACTACTTTAATCCTCCTCCAACCAAGTCATAAGTTATCAGTAGGACCAAACCTTATTATTCTACATGCATCATGAGTAGATCCTCCGAGTCTCCATTTCATTAAAGACCCATAACTTTTTTCACTCTAGGACTCCAACCCCAAGGCCTTACTTTCTTACTATTCTGATCCTGACACATTACCACTCATATCAGTCCCAGGAAATTTTTACCCTCCTCCACCTCCTTCCAAATTCATGAATTCAATTATTAATATAGAAAACAAAACTTGCAGTCCAATTTATTTTTCTGCATAGACTTGTTTAATTGTTTCCAGTTAAAATCCATACTCCCTTAGGGCCACTTACACAAGGAGCCAAGGTTGCTCACAGGGAAGCTTTTAACACTTTGCTCTCCAAAAACAATGGCACTGCGTTATGAAAATACTGCAATTTGCAAAGAATTTTTTCTATTTACAATTGTAGGGTACATCTACAATTTTTGTGATTTAAACTTACAAGGAAACAACAACTCTAGTACTTGTATCTGTCACAATTTATCTCTGTCTACTTTTGCCAAGTAGTACCCAATTGCAGGCCAAATGTCCAAGAATTGTCTTGGTGACAAGTTTTAGTCACTACTTTAGATCAAATTAAAACAAGTATACACTTATACCTAATATACTTTAAAACAAGGAATAATTGTATGTTTACCCCATTCGCCGTCCATGTTCTCACCATGCAATTAAGAGGAGAGTTTGTATCCTATATCAAAAGTTTAGGGTCCTCTAATGCTGGTTCATATGGTTGAGGGGAGTCTTCCCTCACTGCCAACGATTTTGAGTTGGATGCTTTAACATGAGGAAACAAAAAACGACATTATTGTCGTTTGTTTTTTTTGACCAATTCAAGTTGTTAGCCTATTTTATCGTCAGATGAAGACAGTTTGGAGCCGCATTGGTATCATGTAGACTCCATGTAGGATCTTCTGCTCAAACCAGTTTAAGTGCAACTGTTCAACTTTTCAGGACTACTGGTCCTTTAATATGCTAGCAGGTATATTATGCAATTTCAATCAGAAAAAACCTGTGGGCCAAGTGGGTTTTGTACATTATACAGCAAATGCAAATTATGTAGAGTCTAATTGCACAATGTCTTACAAAAGTTTTGTACATCATTTTCAAATACTGATATATCAGAGGCGCACAAATAGGACACAATTGGCAGTGTAGTCGCCTAGAGTAGTCCGATTATCCCAGTGTACTATTCTCTAGAAAAAAAAAAATGCGTTGAAGATTGGGTCGGGTCTTCGTGTTTTGTCGTATTACTTTATTTTCTTGCATTTTAGTTATACTTAAAATCTTTTTGGGTTGTGATAGATGTATATGGTCTTTTATTTTCAGAGTAGGTTGAGCTTGAGTAATTCTCTTTGGGGATTGCTTTTTTCTTTGTCCTTCGGGGTGTCTTTGAACATGGTAATGTCTTTTTTTATAAAAATACATCAAGTATTTCTTATCAGTTTATTCAGAAATGAAAAAGGGATTATAATCTTCAAATCTCTCTCTCTCTCTCTCTCTCTCTGTATGTAAGTATGTACGTGTGTGTGTGTGATCGCACCATGCAAGTGTGTTAATTACATGATGACTAAAAGAAGCTAGGTCTGAGTCTCAGTGCTTTTTTCATTTCGACCATCCTGACACCAAGGAGTTTGGCAGGCCATAATGGTCTTCTCTCTTTGACCGTTCATCAACAAGAAACTGTACTCCCATTTAAAAGTGAAAATTATCAAAAAAAGTTTACAAATAACCCAGCATTTCTGTCCTCCATTTCTTGACAGTGACAGACATTGCTATCTCCATTATTTTCTCTCTGTCTTCTTCTAAGAAAAGCAACACCATTTCAGAGGGGGAGAGAGAGAGAGAGAGAGAGGATAAATTAATGGGGTTCCGTTATTGGAGTAATAAATTTTATTGTGATTGTTGTGCATGAATGTACGACACCTAAGGGAAGAGTAAAAGGGTGGAGTTTGGGGGACAGGCTGAGTCTGAGGCAGTGATGTAAGCAAATGGAGTGTGTGGTGTTTGGTATGAAATTGAATGAGGCCTGTATTTATTGAAGGATAGTGATGGTGGTGGTGATGGTTGTAGTGGAATTTATTATCTTCGGATTTTGTTGTTGCTAATGAGACTTGTTTGAGAATTTTTATTGGATGGAATGACATGTGATCAGTGATAAGGAATGGAAGAAGTTGGTATGGTGGGGAGAGAGAGAGAGAGAGAGAGAGAGAGAGAGAGAATGGTCTTTGGTCAAGATAACGAAGTGTAATATGCCCCATCCCTTTCCTCCATTAAGGAAGTGGAATCTCTGACCTTCCCATCCTTCCCAATCACCCATGTCTCATATTTTTCATTTTTTATTTTTTCTGGTAAGTCCCATATTTTTCATTTCTTTCATCCAATAACTGAATAAAGTAGCCAAAGAATTATTTGTAAAACAGTATAGTTGCTGCTGCTGCTGCTTGCTCTCTCTCTCTTTGCTTGTGGAAAAAAAAAGGTGGGGGGTAAAGAAAAGCCTTGACCACCACGATAAACTTTTATTAATAGGATTTCGAAGTCTTTGATTGTGTCTGTTACTTCTCTCGATAACAAATTTAGTTAGACTAACAAAACAGTCGACCACTAAATTATCTCTCTCATTTATACATATGTATTTCATTTACCAACATAAGAATCTAGATATGATAGGTTGTACAATAGACCCACAAAAAAGAAATATTAAAATAAAACACGAAAATATAGAACAGTGAACAAAGATGAACAAATTTAAGATGAAAAATATTTGAAGTTATGTGATGCATGGGTACAAGAGACCAAATTTACCAAACTATCATAAATTTATATATTTCTAGTTATCAAATACCATTTTCAAATATAATTGAATTTTCGAAATCATGAAGATAGTAGACTTTCAAAACACCACCAGCTGTATATTTGGTGGAAATATGAGAAAGGGTCCCAAAACATTTGCCTAATGACCCAGCCTTTTGCTCTATGAACTAAGACTCTTGAATTTTTTTAACTAAAATTTATCTGGTTTTATGTCAGAACGAAGGATCAAAATTTTATTTCGAAACGGTCGGAACATTTCTATTTTTAAGGAGATTGAAAATAATCAGTGCTTGAATTGAAATTTTAATATTTCAAAGTATTTTATAATATTTCGAGATGTTCCAAAATATTTCGACACGTTTCCACCAATATTTCAAAAAATTTTGAGATGTTTCAAGATATTTTGACCAATATCTTGAAATATTTTGTAAATAAACACTTAATTTTTTTTTTCGGTTTCCATTCTGTATTCAAAGTATTTTTGAAACCTTTTCGAAGCGTTTCTATTTCTTAGATGATTGAAAAAATAAATCAAAATGAAATTTTGATTTTTGATTGGAATGGATACACAATCCCAAAAAAAGAAAGAAAAAACGAAAGAAAGACGCGTAACATGATAATTATTGATTAGGACAATGAAACATAACATCCAATAATGCATGCCACGAGGGAGGCAAATCTCACTTTCCTCCCCATTAATTCCAACATAATCTTCTCACGGCAAAGTATCAAGTTTTTTTTATTTGATTTTCTATTATATAAATGATTTGAGATGTTTGACATCGATTCTTACTATATAATCTATATATGGACAAGAATAAAATAAATGCCTTTTTGTTTTAAATAAAAGAAAAAGACAGGCTAGAACTCAATTAATTAATTTGAGCTGAAAAAGGTTGGTAATTAGGGTATTGGGTCATGATCATGTCCAAAGGTATGAATTTCAGTGTTTCTTGGGGGTGATAAAGTTGGCAACTCCTATGAACAAAATGATAGGTTTCTAACCTTGACAAGTTGCAATGGATATTTAAAAATGAACTCTTCAATTCCCAATACCATTCCGATTCCTTACAAAATTAGAAACTGAGATTTAACATTCAAACCATGCACACATGAATGGGGATGCATGTCTAGATGTGTTTATTGATGTATTATGATCTTTGTCCAGGGTTGGATTTGGAGTGATCGCAAATACTTAATCATTCAGCCGTAGATCGACGAGATCGTGGTTCAGATGCATAAAATCAAAGAAATCTTGAATCCCTTCTCTCAAACCAACAAATAGATATTGTAGAAGATTATGCGTGATCAAACATGAAAAAAACGTAAAATGAAAAAACAATACAAGAGCAACACAAAAGCATAACTAAATTTGTATTTGTTTTTTCAATTAAGATGGGACGATGCTTTGAATCAAAGAATGAATAATAATATTAAGGTATATTGTCCCCTGCTCAGAGTGAGAAACCCAAGAAAAATTACTATATCCTCTATTCAAAGAAGAAAAATGAGTCCGCAATAATGCTGATTCTTTTTGAATTTACTTCTTACTGAATTCATCTTATTGTTTAAAATTGGGTTTCAAAATAAAGGTAAAATTGCCTACCACTACGACCATTACATAGTTAAATTGATCATGAGACAATGGCAAAATCTCACCCGACGTAATACAAATGGCGAACACACGCTACTGTTCAAAACTGAGTAGTACTTGGTGTGGATTTGTGGATGTGTTTTGAATAGGGTAGTATATCTTTTTTTTTTTTTTTTGAATTAATAGAAATATTTGTGCGACGAACAATAAAACTAGCGAGGCTTATTTACAGTTTACTTGTTTCTTAGCATCTTCCTCGCCTTTCTCACTACCTCCACCACCTTGTTTTTGTAAATTTGTCTTAAGAGTAAAGAAGTACTGATATAGCGTAAGGATGTAACACTAGGAGAGCATATGCCAATGCATTTCTACAGTATCGATACTGACAATAAT